GCAACGGAAGATTTCAGGTCGCTGCGATTACCTCGATAAATTCAAAAGCGTTTAACTACGAGCATTTTATGCGCCTGCAGTTTCAAATTCTCCGCCTTCGCTCTCTTAAAGGGGATAAATTATGGGGATCCAGAAGTTCATGTGGCGGTACATTTTCGCGGTAATTAAGGAATGTATTGTTTTTTTTTTTTTTTAATATTTTTACAACAACGATAATTAAATTCTCATTTCTAAATAAGATTTTAAGATATCGATGCTGTATTTTGAAGCTTATTTTATGGATGAAAATTTTAATCATCGTCAAATGATTTGTCGGAAGATTTGTAATAATTAATTCTTATCAATGATAAATAATTTTAAGATATTGATCTCGTATCTTGGAATTTATTTTAAGGATATAAATTTTGTCTGATGCAAATAATATTTATTTCATAATTATATATAATATATTTCTGGCACATAAATAGTTCATTTTTTAAATAATTAAAGAAAAAAATATTGTCTTTAACGTTTAGATTGATTTAAATTTTTTGAATATTTTATGAGAAGGGAAATCTTAATCTTTTTAAATAATAATTAATTTTAAGAGATGAGTTTAAAATTTATTTTATAAGGATACTATTTAAAAAATTAAGTATACGAATCAAGAACATAAATTTCCATTTAAATTACCATTTTGCTTCCATCATGTAAGTAAATAATGTTTCAGTTAATCAAAATATTTTTTGTGATTATACATATATATATATATATATATTTTTCTCTCTCCTATATATTACAAGCATTTTTAAAATCTTCACATCGAACGATTCTAAAAATAACGCTTCAAATTCCTACATTTCCGCAAGCAAACGAAGTTTTAATCGCTTATTAAGTTTTTATCATTCAACATTGTTTAATCTTCTTCCATTCTGCGTACCATCAGAGAAAAGCTAAATCCATCGTTCTCTCTTGTTATAACAGAATGTCTTCCGTTTCAAAATATTTCATTGCTCTTACGTCAGTTTTCACCGAAGCTTATCTTTCTCAACTTTAACTCCTTATTCTTCCGCTCGCTTTTGAAAGCGTGGAGTAAACTGTTCAAAACTCTGGAAAAGTGATTTCAGTATTGATATAGATGAAGACTGTGCGAGTTTTTATATATTGTCGGTTTTTATTGTTTAAAAAACAATAACTTTAGAAATAAAAAGAACTTTTTCTACCCTTTTTTATCAATTTTTGCTTAGATCTATCATTAATAATAACACGAATAAAAAAAAGAATATAATATGATATGAATATAAAATAAGATTTTGATAAGATATATATAATAGAAAATTTCTATGCGTGCTTATTGAAACTTTCCTTATTTTATGATTTATTCGTGTTTTTCGATTATGATATTAATATGAGAAAGTGGGAAAAAACTGAAGAAACTTGATTGATGGCTATATAAATTAAAAATTTTATATTTTAAAATAAATATAAAAGATCAAAAGTTCCGTAAGATTCAACATTTATACAAACCTCAAACTTTTTAATCTAAGTATTTATTATTATTCTCAAGTATTCTACATCAAAAAATAAAATGCTCATACTCATATTCTCTCATTTACACTCAGAATATGTGACAAAATAAATAATATTAATGATATATGCTTGGATCACTGATGATAGTATCTGATGATAAGATCTGAAGAAAAAAAAAAGGGAAATTATTCGCAATCATTCTCATAGAAAAATAATAATAATAAATAAGCTGTAATAAATTCATTTTCAAAAATTTGCAAATACACACGCAAAAGCAGATTTATTTTAAATTAAAAAAGTAAAATTCACTTTACATCTTCTCCCAACAACTCTCATCCCTTCCCACCCCTTTTCCTATCTCTCTATCCCCTCACGTCGAAGAAAAGAGAAATCATAGCACGGAGTGTCCAAGACGCGGCACGACACCGTTCAACGAATAGCCCTCGACACCCTCGCTACAAATAACCGTGAACAGGTTCGCGCTCACCCCTTCCATCGAACTCCTCGATTCAAACGTAAGACGCGAGACACGTTCGAGGCTCCTTTTCAGGATGATTAAAAAACACGGACACGAACCGTCCCTCCCTCTCTCGCTCTCTTCCTTCTCTCCTCCTCCTCCTTTCAACCGTTCAACTCTCGTGAAAAAAGAAAAAAAAAAAAAAGGCACCCCTCCTGACGGGTCTGGATTCAAGGGTGTCTGTGTCGTTCGCAGCGGCGGCGCGCGATCAGCCAGAAATCCGATACTCGATGAGAAAGCTCGAGGGAGATGACTTCGCCCGGTGGAAAAGTTTCTCCCATTAAAGAGATGAGATTTCATCGAAGGCGCGCTCTATCTTCTCCTACCTTCTTCGCAATTCCGCCTCCTCCCGCCGCCCCCTTTTCACAGTGTCCGCACCGCCATGTTTCAACGTCTCCCCTCGTCAACTCTCCTCCCGTTTTGCCTTATATATTTTTTTTAATGCGCCTTATTTTTTCTTTTTCGTTTCTTTTTTCTTTTTTTTTTTTACCTTGCCCCACGCTTTTCATTTTCGTTTCGCCAAAGAGAAAAGCCGCGGGCGGGATTAAATACCCGCCCGTTAATCCGATTCGGTGTAAATGTTTTCGAGCGCCTCTCCGCCACCTCCATTTGTCACTCGTGGACGATTCTACGAGCCTTTCGAGTCGAGCGCGTGTCCGTGAACCGGAATTGCACACACGGGGTGTGCGCGTACAGGGTGTCTCGGAATGAATATGTGTTATAAATGAATATGTGGAAAAAAAAGAGAGAAATTGAGTGGAAAAATGAGATCTCGTTTATGAAAAAAATTTGTAAAGTTTGTTGGCAAATGAATTATCGAGAGAAGTGTTTATCGTTCTATTCTAAGATAAATGAAAAAGGGTGGAATAAGATTCTGTGTTATTGTTTAAACTTTGCTGTCGAAAATATTGAGTGGGATCGAATAGTGAGACGACGATGAATATGGTATTTTTTTGAAAACTTTTAAATGAAAATATTACTTATTTATTTTACTAATTATTCAAATTCATTTGTGCTCGAAAAGTTTTCAAAATACGATTTATAGTTTTCAAAAAGAACAAATATTATACTTTTTTTTTTTGCCGATTCACTTTTGCATAAAAAATCTATTACTGTCTATTTACATTGTTTTAACATATTTAATTTATCCAATTTATTTCACATTTATTTTATCGTATGAATTATTTGTATATAAAAACGTTCAGAGAAGAATTAAATTTTTTGAAAAAAATAATTTAACTTTATAACACTTTTATATAAACGAAATCATTTAATTTTTAATACACTAATCAATATAGTTTGTTATTTCCTAAAAAAATATTAATCTTTCATCAGTAGTCATTTTTTTTTAATATCGTACAATTTAGGTCTTTTAAATTTACAAAAAAATTTTCAAATATTCTATAAAAATTTTGTGTCATTCCTCAGTATTTTTTTTTTTTTTTAAATAGTTCGCTCTTTAAAGAACTTCGAAAGAATAATAAGACACGTGTTTCAAAAATTCAAATTATTGACAAAGGATTAATTCATGTAAAAAATTATTAATTCAAAAGATACATAATTTCGTTTGAATCTTTTACCACGATAATATACCTCCATATAAATATTTCTTAATATCTTTTTATTGCATTGAGTGTCAATCAAAAATTCAAAAAAACTTTTACTTTAAACAGAGACAGAATAAACAAAAAAAAATAATAATTATAAAATTCTAAAAAAAAAAGAAATGCAATTACATTTTCCAGATGCGTAAAAATTACGAACGACTCAAATTGTGCTTCATTGAACACCTTCATTTCGAAGGTTATATTATAATTTGTTCCACTTTCCTAAGACACCTTGTACAGCGAGTACTTTCCATTTATAAATTAAAATTAGAACACCTTGTATACGCATTATCCAGAAGGATTTGCATGCACGTGTGTACGTGAAAGTGGTTTCAAGTGGGAAGGGGGTGGTTTTACTCGATAACGTCTACGACGGGGGTAAGGGCACGCCTCTTTTCACGCGCATTATTACTTGACCAATCTCGTAATCTCGGTCGTCGCGTTAAATTTATTCATGGCTCGGATAACCGTGTTAAGGTGTGTTTTACCTACCGCGGAGAGGTGTTCTTTGGTCCGAGCAGATTTTTTTTCCTGCGTCTCTTTTTTGATTTCGGGTGATAAAAATTATGAGAAAGGATTTAGAAAAGGATTTATTGGTGCGGTCACTGTGATATCATTGAAAAATTAATCGAATAATTGATGAATTAAAGAAGATGTTTGGAAATGAAATTTTAGACGATGTGTGATTGGAAAAAAGAATTTATGATTTGTGATCGATATTCTGAGTAAAATGATTTAAAATGTACGTATTATTAAATATCCATATTAATTTTTCATTGAAATTAATTGATGCAAGATGGCTTCTTTGTTTGTTTAAAAAGAATTCATATATTCTATGTACAATTATACTTTTTCATACGTTATAATTCGAAGTTTATAAGTTTGATTGAAAAAAAACTTGCTTAATATTTCCACGAAGTATTTTGAATATGTCAACGATAGAATGTATCATTATTTACAGATGAATGTATATTTGTAAATAATGGAATTAGTTTAATCGCTAATTTTTCTGCCAACATAAAATTTATTATAACTCGAAAACAAATACAAAAAATATCCATAATTCATTTATATCCAATTGGAAATTGACCAATTTCACCGTATTTGAAATATAGGTCGAAAAGAATATCATTCTTTTTTATCTTTTTGATTTATTTTTGCGTATAGAATCAGGCATCATAATTTCTGTACGTTAAAAAGTGTCGAGAAACGTAATTCACTAGATCCAAAAGCATCTTTTGAAAGCGTGCAAACACGCACGGGTAAATTCGAGATAAACACTCGAATTGACTCGATTCGAGAAAATTCAAAGCGAGTCGAATTATCGTCGACTGAGCGGGGTCACGTCGTTGCATAGGTGTACTCACCGTGTAGCGAACTCCAGATGACGTCAGTGCATCCAATTCATGTCGAAGGCAATCCCTGAAACACACGGAGATACGTAGTTGCAGAAAGAGATGGAACATTAACCGAGTTGTTGACTACAGGGACGACACAGGAAATCCGCGCCAAGAATTACTTTAACCTTCGACCCTTACCGAAACACGGAAGCTCTGTGAAAAGATTTCACGTCCAAGGAAATACGTGTGTACCTACCAAATTACGTTTGTTTAAATTAACAAACATTGTTCGGGGATACGTGTCTGTCAATAAGGATGTTTGTACGAGTACGACAGAGTGAATAATTTTGTTTCATTTTGATCATAGAAAAAATATTTTAGATAAAAATTGAATGATATAGAATAATTTCTTGAGGTTTATTATTAAAAACGTGTTACTTTTTTTTTGAAAAAAGATTGGTATATTTTCAAATCTTTTAGGAAGATATTTTATCCTTCAAAATTTTCAAAATTTAAATTTAACAAGCGTATCTTGTGGTATCTATTATGTGAAAAATTTTTAATATTTTTTTGACAAGTTAGTTCAGATAAATTATTTCAAATAATTAAATTATTTTATTGTCCGTTGCGATAATACACAATTTAATTTTAAAATATCATTAATAACAAATTGTTAGTAACAAACAGGAAAATTTCGTTCATTGTCTGCAATCTTATCAATAATCAATTATAAATTATGACGTTCAATTCAATTCCATAAGTAACATTTTCTTTCTCATTTTCTGTTGATTGGAATAGCTTCGATGATACTTTGATAGCAATTTTTAATACTGTAAAGAGAAGATCAATCGATAGAATATTATTATATCGTAATATAATATAATACCCTCATCATTGCAATCTTTCGTAAAACGTCAAATTTCACATTTGAAAATTTACACTTAAAACCATCATGCTACACGATTTTCGAGACTTTTCGACCATTATACACACCATCTCCTCCATAAAAATCGCTTCGCATACCGTGACCACGAAGAGAGAGCATCTTCGTGGAGGACAAACAACGTCAAGTTGAACGTTTCACGTTTTGTACATGTATTATTCAAGCTGACAGTGACACAACGCTTAGCAAGGGTGGATCCCGGTCGGACACAAGAATGCTTGGAGAGAAACAAAAATACGGAAGGACAAGGATCTGTTCACCGCGATGTCCTGCAGGAAAGAGGGGAAAACTGGGGTGTCCAACGAGGGTGGGTGATGCGGACAACGAGAACCATGACGACGACGACGACGACGACAATGTCGCGCTGATGCTGAAGGAGGAAATGTTATTTCTTTGGAACGCTAAGTGACAGGTCGAAAGACATTCGGAGATACTCGTGCCAGAACGTCGCGAACGAACAGTGAACCATCGTGCAAAAGTTCGGACGCAGTTTTGCCAAAGGAAGTAAGACAACGATGAAACTGGTCGCGAAAAATCACGATGATCGCTTGGATGAATGGAATTTTATTGAGGGAACTTTGGCTGTGTCCAAGTAATTTTTTTTTTTTTTTCGTGGAATTTTTCGAATCGAAGAGGGATTTGAGACGATTTCGAAATGACGAAATATCAAGTCTGTTGAAAGAGTCTTATTCGTTTATTGTTGTGATGTTGTGTATGATGTAAAGATATTATGTGTAATATGCATCTATGTTTGGAAATGAAAGAACACGATTTTTAGAAAAATTCGTGTATGATGACAGGCTGCAATATTTATGCAAATCGAAATTTTTATGGGCACGATAAAAATGTGATTTAAATAAATATCATAATGTGTTGCGTTGCCTTAGATATTTTGCATTCGTTCTGTATACCATGTAAATTTTCTACATTTAAATTTTCTGTAAAATACAGTATAAACATTTGCATACATTAATTCAAGAGTTTGATTAAAGAATTTAATTTTTCATATGTAAATTGTTTACATCTCTGATAATTGAGATGATGAGTTTATATAAGATATACAAATTATATTATATTTTAATAAAATTCATATTAAATAAGTTATATTTAATGATATGATACGAATTAAATTAAAAGATTGTGAAAGGATTAAAAGAATATGAATATGGAGTTAAAAATTAAAAGTGGAATTAAAACAATGAAGGATTTGAAAACCAAGTTGAGATATTCAAGCTGAAAATTCATTAATAATCTCACTTCACAATAGTAGGAAACACTAATGAATTTAAGAATATGATTACGTTATTAAGGTATGAATAAGTGGTTATCTCTGGAGAATTTATAAGTTAAATTTTTAAAGAATAAATAAAGTTTAGTAAGATTTAGATAGAGTTTTCGTATACAAAGTTCAACTTTTTTAAAGTTAACGAAATATATATTATATCCGTTAAAATAAAAATTTTTGGCTTAGATAAATTTTCTTCATAATTCGTACAGCAAAAAATGTGCGAATACTTTTATTTCTCATTCCATCGATAGTATTCGTGTATTAAATAATTTTTTATTGCATAACACGACGCATGCTATGCACATCTAGTTCATCGTTATTTATCTAAAATAATAAATTTTAAATTTCGTGTATTTCTGGGATGGTAACAAAAAATAAAAATGAAATTCATTATTTAGATTAATAGCGTTAGACTTGTTTATATTCGACTTTAATCAATTTTTATTGAAGAATTTCTACTACGAGCAAACAATAAATTGGAGCTTGATATATAATATTCTCTCTATTTTCATCCTTTTCTAATTATTTATTAAATGAAGAAATTAGGAAAAAAAATTAAGAAATTCTTTCAAAATTTCTTTTCATTTCCTTTATTTTTTTCATGATTTTTTACTTTACATATACTTTATATATAAAGTATTCTATGCTAATTTTTACAAAGCGACTTGGAATTTCTAACAAACTAATCAAAATGACTTATTAAAGACATCATCTGATTATTCTACTTAACACGTAATCCAACATTATTAATTATCGTCTTGAGAAAAAAAGTTTAAAATGTTCACACTAATATCGACATGATGCAATGTAAACAATCTATAAGAATTCAGATCAGAATTATCTGTCACCCAATCCACCACCATCATCCTGCATCCCGTCGAAACAGAAACCGAGAGATTAAAAAAAAATCACGAGAGAAATCCAGCCCCCTGGAAAATTCGTTCCGCCAGGAGAAGGGCGCGTCGTTAACACGTTCGTTAACGAGAGTCGCGAGAAAATGAGAGAAGAAGCGAGGAACAGTGACAACAAACTGTTGGAGAAAAACGATCGTCCATCGATTGCTATCGAATTACCCATTCCGCGAAAAAGAGAGAGAGAAAAAAGTATACTTTTATCCGGGATCGTTCGCCGATTATTGCATCGTTCGCGCGCGCCCTCTAAACCGTGCCACGGAAAAATGGCGAGGCGAACGGTGTGAAAGAAGGAGCGAGAAAGAGAGAGAAGGAAAGAATGGGGAGAAAAGGTGGAGAAGGTATAAAGTAAGGGGAGCGGAAGCATTAGTGGTATTGCCATACTATTACTCGCGCCCCTCTTAATAGCCCGCCCATTAAAGATAATGAACGTAAATTATGCGTAACGGAGCACAGTTAAAAAGGTCGCCTCTATCTACCGCCGTGGAGGTACGGCCACTCTAAATTGACTGTACGAGTGGACGGTTCCGCATGGCGGAACGCACGGCCGACCGTGAAGAAGTGGATCTGAATGAGGAATTTATTGACAAGAAACACGAACCTACCTGTCACGGGCCCATTCTGAATGCGGCGTTCAAGGGATCGGGTAAATCCGAGCTATAACTGTTACAGTCATCGATAGCACGATTTTTTTTTTTTTTTTTTAGGAAAGAGAAACAGGTGGTTCCTTGATTAGATTCAATCTTGTCGAGTGACGATCGAAATCTACAATTTTTAGGTAAAGTTTCTTGGAGAGAAGATAGGATTATTAGAATTTTATTATAACGTCTGTATTTTATTAGACAGGAAGGTTTGTATAAACTCGAGAAAATTGCATTAAAAAAATGTATAATGTGATAAAATTTTTTGCAAATAACTCTGAGACCGAAAAATTGGATGTTGATAAATTTATCGTGTAAAGAAAAAGATAGCTCGATTAATACTGTATATCGGTTCTTCTCGCTGAATTTATTAGGAAAACATTAAATTATAAGAATGTAATCTGTAAATGGAACAAATGAAGTTGTATAAACCAATAGCATGAACGCATACATCGAAAGAATTAAAATCCGGGTTCGTTGCTAAGAAAAGAAAAAGAAAAAAAAAAAAAGAAAAAACCGATCGTGAATTTGGAGGAAATTCCATCCGCAGATACATTACAATTATTTAATCTTTCATCTTCAAAGATGTCAACTGTTCCATACTCCCCACCCCTTACCTCGAAGAACAATGGCGCACGAAGGCAAAGAAAACGGTTGAAACGACATCGTTTCTTCGCTCTTTGTCCTGTTTTTCCCTCGAAGGGAGTACGTAAACCGAGAAAACGCACAATGGCGCAATCAAAGAATAGATTGGTGCTCGCGATAAAACGGCACGCTCTCTCTATCCACGAGCGTAAAACGTGGAGCGCCAGATGTACACGTAGCCGTGAAACATTTGTCCAGGCCAGGCTGGAACGTTTCGAGCACAACTGTATTTTCCCCCGCATTTGCCGATATAACTCAAGGAAATCTGGCACGGACGTGCGGCAAATATATCCCCTCCTTTCCGTACACGCGAAAATCAGTATATTATGTACAACCCTTCCTTTATTTCGTCCGAGGAAAAGGTAGCTCGCACATTTGCACAGTTAGTTCACGGTGACTACGTGTCGTTCTCGTCAAATTTTCCCGTCAAATCGGTGGCAGGATCTTTTGGTTAACAGGATTTTACAGCTTGGTCATTTCGATGAGAATTGTCGGTCGCGTGATACAAATTCTTGTTTAATAAATATATCTATCGTTTTTTTAAAAAATAATTGAAATAAGGAAAAGTAGCAAAGAATATTTTAAAGATGAAATGTTAAATGTTTCGACGAATGATAAATATTGACGTTTCAATAAATATTTATATACTGGAGT